GTGGAACTATCAGGCACTGCAGCATCCGTCATTTTAATCACAACCTGTGCATCTTTTAATCAGATATATGTTAAACTCCCTCCTATTTACTTTAGTAGGTAACATATTGAAAAAGATCTCATTTAACTCATTTATAAGATTACACAAACTATCATTAGGTGTTTTACTGTTAAGTACTCAAAAGTAGAATACTATGATGAAAAAAGAATGCTTGCACCTAAAGAATCTCATATCATGTCTTAATGGGAAAAATCTGAGCAAACACAGAAAATGTCACAATTCCAGTAAGTAAAACAAAGCTGAAAACTTGTGCTTTTATTGTAAAAATCCTAATAATTTGACAACGGTTCCTTTCTTTGTTTAATCTCACAGAACAAACTAAAGTGCATTCAATGTTGTTCAAATATTGAGACTTTTCAAATCTACTCTAAAAATACTTATGCTGACAATCAACTCTTACCTCATTCTGCAGATCTCTTATCATTTTGCTCTTCCTTTCCATTTCAGTCTTCAGAAAGTTAATCTGCCAGTTTAAAAAAATGCTGAATGTTAAGTTTTGAAACATACTACAAATGCCACAATCATTTCTTTTCCACTCTCTTGCTTTTTTCTTTACTTCTTCACAACCTTTGATATGCAATTCAAAAATTAGTCCACTAGTCTCCACAAATCCACAGTTTCTATTGCTAGATATTATTAACTAAAGGAGGTGCCCAGCATTGGTAGACTTGAATTTCATATCTATTAAATAATCTGTAATAAAGTGACAATATATGAGGTAGGGAATTTTCTAAACAAGATCAGTTAATAAAGAAACTCGTGTGTGAAAATCCTTAGATTCTTGGTTTTGTTTTTTGATCCATCTGATACATCCAGATTTTTTTAAAACGAATTCCATAGTAATCTTAAAAGAACTGAAGATTTTTTAAATAAAATTAGCTTTTTTTAATAATCTAATGACTATTCAAAATCTCTGCAGTTTTCAGTCCCCTATATATTAACACAACATCTGTCACATTTTAACACCCTAAAGAGTATTACTATTACAAGAGTGGACCCATTAAGCTTTTGAAGCTATTAGTAATACTCATGGAGTAAAAACATCACACTATGCTCCCTGGTCATGATAAACTCAGGGACTTCTTACATGTAGAAATTTGACTCTTAGCTTCTACAGTGAATGTAGTTTAAGAAGGATCATTGGTTTACACAAATGAAGTTATACTTTTCTTGATAGGTGTCAGATTGCATTCACTTCATTGCTAAGTAACTCGGCAACATTTTTCAGGTCAGAGAGAGATAAAGGTGTATGTAGCTAAAATAAATAAGGAAGTGTGAAAATGTCCATTTTATATTAGGATGCTATGGCAATTCAGAGATTTAAAAAGTAGACTAGAAGTTCTCTCTGCAACAGACAAACAAAAAAGCATTCAAACAAAGAAACACGTGAGGAAACTCTGGAGTTCACATAACAGTGCTTGTGAAAGTATTCCTATCAATTCACTTTGGGAACATTCACACTTTTAAGAAGGAGGACAATTGGAGACAAATCCTTTCACCCCTTGAACACTGGCCTACAAGTAGCTCTTCTTGGAATTGTGTGACATTAAGTCAGCAATTCAAAATCACATAATTATTAATGGTTACAGAAAGCACCGGGCTCTCCATGCCCACTGCTGACACTAAGTCCCCAAGAATATGCCATATATGTGGTCATAATTATTAATGGTTACAGAAAGCACAGGGCTCTCCATGCCCAATGCTGACACTAAATCCCCAAGAATATGCCATATATGTGGACACTAATTTACATTTAACTTTTCTTTCAGACAACTTCAAAGATTCTTACATTTCAAAGTTGGGCTTGGGTCTGATAAGAGATTGTATGAAAAATGGAAATCTTACAACTTGGAATCCATTTTTCAGTGACATTGAAGGAAAAATAGCAAGTGAAAAATAAGGAGATGGTAGATGTTCTACTTTTCATTCTGTTAGCTGCTTTGTGAGACTTTTATATTCATTTATTTTCCCTTCTTATCGCCTACTACTTTGTTCTGAAACATTTCATTCCACAATCTATTGGTGGCCCACAGTCCATAGGCTGTTAGGGAAAACATCTTCATTCAAGGCAGTGCTCAAGTCCTCTGCTAAACATCTTCATTCAAGGCCGTGCTCAAGTCCTCTGCTAAAACAGACCTAATTGTTTGAAAAACACTAGAATAGACTAGCAATGGTAGTCTGATGCATGGATCTTCATTCAAGGCCGTGCTCAAGTCCTCTGCTAAAACAGACCTAATTGTTTGAAAAACACTAGCATAGACTAGCAATGGTAGTTTGAGAACCACTGCATTGCACCAGCTGGTTCCTGGAACAGGTATAATCGACTGCTATACTTTATTCTATTTATTGTTTTCCTTTAATCATTGTTCTGTTACCTTCACCTTTTCTTTCCTTCTTCTGGGACATTTTGAAGCAAAATGAAGCCCTATATCAGGAACTAAAATAGTAATTTAGACCAAGCTACTGAGACCTATATAATGCTCGCACTGAAAATCCTGGCTTCATTTAAGTGAATGGGATTCTTTTCCACTGAATAGGAGAGATCCAGGAACCTATGCTTAATATGTTTAAAACAGCTAATATTTTAGATTGTAGATTCTCTATGTGTTCTGAAAATCTCTAAGAATACTTAGAGAGTATTTTAAACACATTAAGCATAGGTTCCTGGGTCCCTCATATTCAGTGGAAAAGAATCCCGTTCACATAAGAGAGTATTCCATGTTCAGTGGAAAAGAATCCCATTCATATATAGAGTATTTAAAATGGCATTTTGTCTTACAGAATTAATATTTTACAATTAAAAGAACATACATCTAGTTTGTACTAAAAACCTACTAAATATTAACAATATTTATTCATTACTACAGATTCTGTATGTACAGTGAGTCTCCTACGGGTGAAGTCTGCTCAGAGCACCAACACAGAAGGTCAGAAAATGTAGCTGTGTGGACTCTGGGTTCAGGAAGCCTTTATGTGGTTTCATGCCAAGTGGGTCCGTAAAATGATTGGAGAACTGTCCGGGGGTAGGGCACAAGCCTAGGACTTGGGAGACCCCCTCTGTTCCATACCCTGACCTACCTCAGACTTCTTGTGTGACCTTAACTTCTCTGTTCCTCAGGCACATGGCCATTTTGGACGAGTGTGGGGGGGCAACAGCCATGCACTCTGTGTATGTCTCACACCTGGCTGGTGAGCTCCTTTCACCAGCCAGGTTTGAGAGGCATGCATGAAATTCAAACACTTTCCCTTCACTCCCTTTAGTGTCCAGAGAACTGGATGAAAAGCAAGCCGTGGTGTCCCAGAGCCCCACCTACCTGAAAAGCAAGCCGTGTCCCAGAGCACATGGCTGCTGCCCCACCTACTCTCCTGAAATGGTGCCCTTGACCACTTCCCTCCCTCACAATGGTGTTAGGAAACCTTGACCAATAAAATATTATTTTGCCTCAAACCAGATCTCACTTTCTAAAAAGGTGCTAATTGTTTCACCTTTAAATAACCCTTTCAAAAAAAGAAAAGGAATAACAACACTACTAGTTGCATGTGCAGAGCTATTTAGAAACAATGGCTTATGAAGTGCTTTTACTGTTCTTTCTGGCTAGATTTATCAAGCAATATAGCATATTAGACAGTAGCCGATTTTCTTGCATTCTATGTCACATTCAGTATTGAAAGTAAAATCTCATATCCTTAACCTAAGAGTATTAACATTTTTATTTTGGATGGGAGGTAAGAGAGGAGTGCCTATAAACACAATGGCTGCACATCTGTTCTCATGACAATCACAACAAGGTACAGTACATAAAAGCAACACCACCATAGAAGAAACAAAAACAGAAACACAACTAGGATATATATGTATGCTGTACCTTATTAGCAATGACATCAATTCACATTCTCATTTCAATTAATTTTTTTTTTCCTAAATGCACATTTTCATTTTTGGATGTATTTTCAACATGTCACCAAAGCTTCATCATTCTAGTACACTGCCATATGTTCCAATCCTGAATTAAAGCTGTAATTTCTTTCAATGTAGGAACTGTGAGAAGTCTCCATTTTTTTCCCCTATTCCTCTCAGAAATATCATCTGGCTACCCTGAGGGTCAGTCAAAATAAGCAACTGAAAAAAAAAACCCCAAAAACCTGTACCAAACCTTCACAGCTAAATATCTATCACGATTGTTCTATGTACAGACAATACTGCATGCCAGCTATATGATTTAAGAAGACTCTGAAATGAATTTATTAGTAAGAGACAGGAAATCCATAGTAGTGATAGAAGGACTTATTTCTTAATGTCCTCCTTTCATCTAATCTCTCGGTCTACCAAATTCTTTTCTTCAATATGCTCAGGTAAGGGTGCTGAATGCTGATAAATGTTGCAAAAAATTGAAACAGCAACCTCAGTGTAAATCTTAGCTAGTTCACAATACCTGGCCCAGACTTGTACACCTGATAGTAACTGTCACAGATACAGTATGTGGAACTATCAGGCACTGCAGTATCCGTCATTTTAATCACAACCTGTGCATCTTTTAATCAGATATATGTTAAACTCCCTCCTATTTACTGTAGTAGGTAACATATTGAAAAAGATCTCATTTAACTCATTTATAAGATTACACAAACTATCATTAGGTATTTTACTGTTAAGTACTCAAAAGTAGAATACTATGATGAAAAAAGAATGCTTGCACCTAAAGAATCTCATATCATGTCTTAATGGGAAAAATCTGAGCAAACACAGAAAATGTCACAATTCCAGTAAGTAAAACAAAGCTGAAAACTTGTGCTTTTATTGTAAAAATCCTAATAATTTGACAACGGTTCCTTTCTTTGTTTAATCTCACAGAACAAACTAAAGTGCATTCAATGTTGTTCAAATATTGAGACTTTTCAAATCTACTCTAAAAATACTTATGCTGACAATCAACTCTTACCTCATTCTGCAGATCTCTTATCATTTTGCTCTTCCTTTCCATTTCAGTCTTCAGAAAGTTAATCTGCCAGTTTAAAAAAATGCTGAATGTTAAGTTTTGAAACATACTACAAATGCCACAATCATTTCTTTTCCACTCTCTTGCTTTTTTCTTTACTTCTTCACAACCTTTGATATGCAATTCAAAAATTAGTCCACTAGTCTCCACAAATCCACAGTTTCTATTGCTAGATATTATTAACTAAAGGAGGTGCCCAGCATTGGTAGACTTGAATTTCATATCTATTAAATAATCTGTAATAAAGTGACAATACATGAGGTAGGGAATTTTCTAAACAAGATCAGTTAATAAAGAAACTCGTGTGTGAAAATCCTTAGATTCTTGGTTTTGTTTTTTGATCCATCTGATACATCCAGATTTTTTTAAAACAAATTCCATAGTAATCTTAAAAGAACTGAAGATTTTTTAAATAAAATTAGCTTTTTTTAATAATCTAATGACTATTCAAAATCTCTGCAGTTTTCAGTCCCCTATATATTAACACAACATCTGTCACATGTTAACACCCTAAAGAGTATTACTATTACAGGAGTGGCCCCATTAAGCTTTTGAAGCTATTAGTAATACTCATGGAGTAAAAACATCACACTATGCTCCCTGGTCATGATAAACTCAGGGACTTCTTACATGTACTAAGATCCTCCGGAAAAGGGCGCTTTTTCCGGAGGATTGGGGCCAGTGTAGACACTCTTTTCCGGCTTTTCTAAAAGCCGGAAAAAAGCAGCGGACATTTTTATTTAAATGCTGCAGGGGATATTTAAATCCCCCGCGGATTTCCCTATTACGATCTCTGAAATTAACATGCCCCTTTCGGAAAAGGGGCCAGTGTAGACGTAGCCATTGATTTTAATAGCAGTTGAAGACTTTCAGCCACCCACAAATGATCAAATGATGTTCATATAGTAAGTTGAGTCTGCAAAATTTTTGGCCTAAAAATTGTGGGCTCTACTAAAAATAGTCACTGTGAAACTACAAAAACTTCAGAAAAATCACAGAGTTCAGAATGACTGTGGCTCTTCTGAGACACTACTCTGTTTGTTCAAAGGACATAGTTAAGATAAGAAGAAGAAAAAAACAGACCACCATTGACAAGAGACCTCAGTCATTACTCACAAGAGAAATTCCTTGTCTGTTCCCCCCCTCCCCAAAGATCATTCATTTCTGGTGCTGAAATTCATACCCCAAATTCCACTGAAGACCACCCTGGGTTACACTAGTATGGATTTATTGACCGAGGAATTAACACTCGACTATATGCACTATAAGTTAAACTAAAGAGGATAGAACTGCCATTAAAGGTTTAAACTAAAGGGTAAGCAACTCTCTCTCACACATACACACACACCTTCATTCATTCACACACCTTCATTCCAGCCTTCAGGCACTTACACAGGCACATGGGTTGCAGAAGGAGCCAAGGCATGTTGATTCTGAAGCTGTCTGCTGATCATGGCTGGGGAGCTGGTCAGAAAAGAAAGAGCTTCTGGCTACAGAAAGAGGAGTTTCTCAGAGAGCTTCTGCCATGTGCTCTCTCTCCTTTTATTGCCTCCCTATAACTCTGGTGACTCAGCCACATTCATCACCAGGGAGCATGCCCAGATTTCCCTCATCCAGCAGAGCAGCAGTGTCTCCTTAATTGGTCTGATGACTCATCACCTGGCTCCATGTGCTCAGCCTTGCAGTTTCTAATCCCAAACACACAATAGTCTCCACTCACACACACACATTCATTTCTCAGGGGAGAATGAAGTTTACAGCAAGTTACAGGCAGAGTGGATGAAAGTTACAAAAAGTTACAAAGTTGCAAGGTTTTACAAAGATTACAATGAGTTGCAGAGTTTAAAAGACAATGCAGCTGAAACAATTACAATGCTTCAGAGAAGCATTTACAAATTATCAGGATTGAAGTGATTTAGAAGACAACTCCTTCCCCCCACCCACCCAGGAATGCAGTCAGCAGGAGGTTTTTGTCAGTCTCTAAATCACGTGTTGGCAGGACCTTACAGTTTAGTATTTTACAGAAATACAGTTTAACAGTAATAGCTCAGGCGGAGGCTTTATGCAACAGAAATAACTAAAATAATAGGACAGAGATGGTATTATAAGACATGGGCATTAGCCTAGCTGTTCTGCTAGGGTGAAATTTCACATATTTTAAAAGATCCACACCAAGCTGTATGTATCACATAAGCTTTTTGCATGGTAGATGTCAATCAGGTAGATATGGGCACCTAAGAATATATGTAATAAATCAATTAACCTAAATAAATACATTTCAAATTTTACATTTTCCAAAGAGGAAAACATTTCTTTTCAAGTTAAATTACATCTGAATTTAACTTGCATTTATTGTTTACATTTGTTGGAATTCTAAGGCTCTGCCACCTAATCTTTAACAGCTGAAGAGCCAATTAGTCATAAAACAGAGCTGCAGTAAGCCACATAAAATACTTAGATTTATATTACTTGGCTACTAGAGCTGATATAGAGATATCCCATCTGTCCATTTGAGTGTGTCTGTGTAGGCCTCTATATTTTGGTGCCCTAAGGCAATTGTCTCAGTGTCAGGACGTTGCATGATGCTTTTACTCAAATCCAAGGAAAGAGCATCGTGCAAGGCTATGAAGGACTGCATGCAGTTTGAGAACCTTGAGTTGAAAAACGCTGCTTGGAGGCATATAATAATAGTGTATGAATCATTACTTAGGTGGGTGTAGAAATTCTGCTTTCTGCTTCCTCCACCCTAATGCACCTATTTCCAATATATGCATGAATGGATGTTCACGTTCTGGTCTATCTTTCTGAGCAAATTAAAAGCTGAGAAGCCACCCAGGAATTTTCTGCACCTCTCTATTCTGTCTTTTTCACCCGGTTATACATCTGATAGTTATCATCAAATGGCATTTTCCTTTAACTGCTATCTAGCAGTAATTAAAAAGAAATATTGAAAATACATTACAGCTCCATGCCAGTGAGCTCTTCATTGTTAAACAAGGACAGTGCTTTCGTGTCTCCATCAGACAAGCAGTCAGCATAATCAGAGCTCCGTGTGTTTCAAGCTTATTACGTTTGTTAAAGACAACTGCTTCCATCCACTGGCCTTTACTTTCAGTAGTTTTGGACGTTGAAATTTTCAAATTACTGCCCCCATTGAAATACAGAATGCCCTAACAGATGGCAATGATCTAACTCTAAGAACCAAACATCTATTTTCTATGCATATTTATTATAGATGGACTGAAGAACAACAACATATAATCATTATGGCACAGTCAAAGCTTGCAAAGTGTATGCTTAGTCACTTATGTCTCACTTAGGACAGGTTAAACCACGAACAATTAACAATGCACTGACTGAAATACAGCATGTGTACTTATATTGTTCATTACTATGGCTGCAACTGGCAGCCCTGTCATAGTCAATAGCATAGGTTATGTTTTGAGGATTGCATTAGTGGTTTAGTTTGGGTAGGGATTAAAACAAAGCAAGCCGATTTGCCACACAAGAACAGATAGTTAGAGGGAAAATCAAAGTTTTTAACTAGGAAATGTTATTCACTTGGGGATATATCCTGGTCCTGATGAGTTCAACATCAAATTCTTGGCTTTGACAGAGACGGTATTTGGCCACTAAAGTAAGCTACATTCTGTTGGTATTAAACTCCAAGGGCTCTCTCTCTCTCTCTCTCTTTCTCTCTCTCTCTCTCTCCTTGGCAGCTGTTAGCAACACTACCAGGTTCAAGCGAGGATAAAAGATAAGGGTTCTGCAGCTGGGTTTGTCCCCCATGCAGGTAAGAATTTACCTGAAACAGTTCAGTTAAACAAAACCTGAGGATGGGAGGTGTAGCTCAAACCCCAAGTATGACAGATCTCAGTGAAAATCCAAAGGAAGATAGGACCTCAAGACATCTAATCTCAATGTCCAAATCCAACATGGGGCAGAAAGAGGGAATGTACATATTCTGTATAGTATGGGAAAACTGGCATAGGTTAGGTGAAAATGCAAAAATACCATCTGGACACACTTACATCATTGTGATGTGAGGCATAGGGAGTAGCAAGATGGTGTCTCATGGTGCTAAATCTCAGGAGAAGGAACACATGGAAGTGATGTAGGAATTAAGAAGGATAACACCCCAGTGAAGAACACTGCCAGAGCTGCTGGTCGGGGCGCAAAGAGGACAGTTGCCCCAGTGCTCTGCTCTACCCATGGACCTTTAAATCACTACTGGAGCCCTATGCAGCACTATCTGAGCAGTGCTGAGGGAGGAGTGGCACAGTCTGGGCAGCACTGAGGGTGGGCTGCCCCTTAGTCCTTCCCCTTCCACTCTAAGTCCCACCCCTTTGTTGGAGGCCTGGAGCCAAACCTCACCCACATTGCGCAGGGCCCGGTGACATCTGTTACCAACCCTGACCTCTGCTGGCTTGGAAGACTAGTGAAAAACAAAACACCAACACATGTAGCAGTCAACTGTGAGAAGAAGATGTGTTGACACGGCTCACAGAATCTATGATATAACTTTCTCAAGCATGACATCAGGCTGGTGCGAGGGTGATTTCAATGCACAAAGCAGCAGCAGCTCTACTTGCTCTTGAAGACTCATGTGCAAGAAGTGAAAGGCAACCAAACTGCTACTGGTGAATGGACCCTGAATTTCTGTTCAGGAAATCAACTCTCCCAAAACAAGAGCATTCACAAGCTCACATACTGATGACTAGACAATGCATCTGTCAACCAAATCAACCACTGGTGTATATCGAACAGAGGGCATCGTCTTTGAGGGATGTCAAAATCAGCAACAGAGCAGTTGTTGATTCAGATTACTATTTTTCAATGGTCACCCTGCAACTTAAATTTAAAAATATCATGAAAACAGACAAAGAAGTTACAATATATGATAGGGACTCCACCCCAAACAAGTCCTTTTGGGAGTAAGGTGGTTAGCTGTGCCAATTATCTCCTCCTCTGGACCAGGAGCAAGGGACCAAGAAAGAAGAAGATGAGGTTCAGCTGGATGGGAAGAGGAAGAGCCTGAATATAGCCCAGGAGCTGGGGAAGCCAGGAAGATAGGACAGGCTCCTGGAAAAGCAGTGAAATTCAGGATGGGATGGGCATTCGCTGCTAAATAGAGGGTTTCTGAGTTGGAACACAGAGTGCACCTGGATTCCCCTACCAGTTACTAGCACCATAGAGGCAGTAAAAGGGAAAAGTTCTTAAGACTGCTGGTGAAAAGAGATTGAGTGACCGGGCAAGTGAGCTGAATCACAAAGAAGCAGCAGGAGTTCTTGGAGCAAAAGAGGGCTGTGGAGTGAGAAAGAGGGAGAGAGAGAATGCAACAGCAGGAAGCAGCATCAGCATATAAGAGCTAATCCCTAGAACTGCTAGGGGGCAGAACCATTCAGCAGTGAGTAGAGCACCCCATGACACAGCAACAGAGAAGTTCAAGGAAGTTCAAGATCAGACAACATGCCCAACCTCCTTGCCAGAGGATGTTGTGTAGACCAGGACTTTAACCAGGGTTCAAAAAAAGAACTAGATAAATTCATGGAGGTTAGGTTCATCAATACCTATTAGCCAGGGTGGGTAGGAACGGTGTGCCTAGCCTCTGTCTGTCAGAGGCTAGAAATGTGTGACAGCAGAGGGATCACTTGATGATGTTCATCTGTTCTGCTCACTCCCTCTGAGGCACCTGGCATTGGCCACTGTTGGAAGACAGGACTGGGATAGATGGATCTTTGGTCTAACCCAGTATGGCCGTTCTAATGTTTTTATGCATGTTTGACCAGAATAAGTCCTTCCAGTTCAGTACAACAGAATCAAATGCAACCCCCTCTGTTTACACCATGTTTCCCTCTTAAAGTATTAAAAAAAAAATCTTACCGATTTTTTAAAATATCATGCAACTGGCTTTCAGAAAGTTGTGAAACATGGTCAGGAGACAGGATTAAACAACAATAATAAAATATTTCCATATTTGTTTCATCTTTCAACTGATGATCTCAAAATACTTTTCAAACATTTAATTGTTTTACTGAAGGCTACACTAAGAGGCAAATTGTCTTCAACAGGCTCAGATATCAAGAGCTCAACCTAGATCTCCAAAGATTTTAAAGGTAGCAATCACTAGAAGAGCATGGAGTCCAAGCTTTTGGTATCACAATATCCTCCTCTAACCAGCTGACAACAATCTGGAACTAATTCTGCTCCCAGTTACATTGTTGATGTGTCCTGCTGTGTTGCAAAGGTGGGTGGGTGTGGTACAGAATAATCACTGCATTATAATTAAATTTAAAATTTGGTCATAGTATTTCACTCCAGGACTATACCCTATTCTGAATGTGCCATGAAAGAGATCCATTGAAAATAAAAGCTAATGCAGAAAAGACAGAACTTTATATAAAAATAAGAAAAAAGTAGAGTGAAATTAACCCTAATTTTTAGAGGTACCTCTCTGTTGACCTCATTTGGGATGCACTCATTTACAGCACTTGGACTGACCTTAAAACATATAGGCTATGTCTATACTGCAGCACTATTTCAGGATACCGAAATAGCTGTTCTGTGACTTTTGAACACACCCGTTATTTCAAAATAGAACAGACTTGCTTATTCCAACATCCCCATGAACCTCATTCCACAAGAAGTAAGGGACATTTCAGAATAGCTATTTATTTCAAAATAACTGCTGTATAGACACCGTCAAATTTTGAAATGGGCAATTTCGAAATTGACTCGAAATAAGCTATGCAATTTGCATCGCTCAAATTGCATAGCTTATTTCGAGCTGCGGGTGCAATGTAGATGCCCCCATACAGAGTAGCATAAATAAGAAGTCAACAGATTCTAATTTACAGTCTATTGTTTTGTTTTTGACTCCTACTAAATACTCATCTTTATTACTGTACATTATTGACCTTCCACCAAAGTCAGTGAGGGCCCATCAGTGTAAATTAAAACAGAAATTGGCCTTCCATGTTTTCATCTGGTTGGAGAAGAGAGTTGAGACAAACAAGCTCTGTGCTGCACTTTGCTATTGACTTTAGGACAGGACTCTCATTTTAATACTCTTGCTAGATTAGCTAGATAATTTGTTTTTAATTTTCTTCACACAAATTGCTACAACTACCTTTGACCTGCTTGCTTTTTATACTGAAAAAGCAAATGAAGCATATTCTTTTAATTTCTGCCCAAAAAGCAAATCATAAGAGCTGGCGGTTTTGTTTTTCATGTTCTTCTCTAGCTCAAAAAAACAAAAACAAAACAAACAATTAATGCCTGAATATGTGGCAAAGGGGATAAAACACTTTGTAAAGGAATGGATTCTCCTCCCAAGCTTTTAAAAGCTCTTTCACATACTATGAATATCCCATTGGAAGTTTTCTTTTGAATTGATGATTATAAGATACACTTTATTTCTCCTGTGTCGCAGAATGCTTCCTTATATGTACTTCTCTCTCAAAAACATAGTATGAGCTAGAAATAGGCAACATTTCAGCAATGCAGTTAAACATGTATTTATCTTTAAGCACATGTATAGTACCATTAACTTCCATAAAACTACCTATTCTTTAAGTACGTGGCTGAACAGGGGCCAAAGTATCTGATATTGCTCTCGCTAAAGCCAAGGGAAATTTTGCTATTAATATACGTGGGAATATCATCCTATCTAGATGGATACATAAATCAACAGCTGTTAAACCAGGATTCACAATCTGGTTCAGGTATGACTAAGAGAAATTTCCATCTTCACCTAAAATTGCATTTTGCTTTGCAAAATCATTTAATTACTTGTTTATATTTACCCTATTCATACATTCACCCCATTCTTGACTTCTGAGCCTGAAAATGGTGAAATACAGCAAACTAAATAAAATAAAGAAATATCAACCAGTATTTCCAGTCAGGGTGAAAACAGACATTAACCAGGAAATCTAAAAACAGTTTTCAAATGGCATTAACGTTTTTTGTTACCTGATGACAAACTGAAGAGATCGCTTACAAAGAAGTTCTGTTCATTTAAGCACTGGCATTTCTAGGAGACATTTCCTTTTTTATGTCCTAGCACAGGGGTGGGCAAGACAATCTCCGTGGGCTGGATCCGGCCCATCAAGCAGGTTGATCTGGTCCTTGGCCACCCTGCCTCTCCCCCGCCAACTGAAAACCTGGGGACAGGAAAGTCCGCAAAGTCTCCTCCCGCCACCAGGAGCTAGAGTGCCTAGAGGGAATCTCCAGCTGTTCAAAACAGCTGGTGGTTCTCCTTAGGGACATATGCCCCTTGCAGGGGCAAGGTGGGGGACAAAGACTTCAAACACTCCACTACTCTCAGGTCCTGATTTGCCTGGGGTTGGGGGTGTGTGGGAAGGCTCCTCCCCCACCAGGGACACTTGCCACCAGAGGCAATTGCCAGCTGCTCAAAACAGCTGGCCATTCTCTCTGGGCACCATGCACCCTGGCAGGTTGGGGGAAGGAGGTGAGAGATTTTACGTGCTCCGATGCCCCCAATTCCTGATTGGCCAGGGGGTGAGGGGAGTCTCATAAAGTCTTCTCCCTCTCTCAGGGGCAAGTGGCACCTCGAGTGAACCACCAGCTATTCAAAACTTTGGTCAGTTCTCTCTAGGCACTGTCTGCCCCTTGCAGGGTGGGGTAGGGTGCCAAAGACTTTATGCTTTCCCAACCCCTAGGTCGTGATTGGCCTGGGAGCAGGGGAAATCCATGAAGTCTCCTCCCACTACCAAGGGCATGCAGTGCCTAGAAAGAACTGCAAACCGTTCAGAACAGCTGGAGGATCTCTCTAGGCACTGAGGGGTGAGGGGCAAAGACTTCACATTCTCCCCCACCCCCAAGCCAATCAAGGTCTGTGGGTGGGGAGCATGGGAAGTCTCCTGGCCCTGACCCTTCTGGCAAATGCCCCACCTCTTCCAGGGTAGCCCAGGGCCACTTCAAAAATGTGTGAAGTGGCCCATCTTCAAAAATGATTGCCCTCCCCTATCCTAGCAGTAAACCAGTCATTCAAGAGAAATGAGAAAGAACTGTGATATTTTGTACAGTATTCGAATCTGGGAACAGGAATACACAAGGGTTGATAAAACTGTCCCTAGGTAATAAAAGATTTAGCCAAAATTATTATATGTTTTAATGATTACTTTAATCTGACTTCAGGGATTACAATACTGGGAGCCAGAACCTATTTCATTTTAAGTCAATGCGCAAATCACCCATTGATTTCAATCAGATCAAGAATGGAGCTTTGGGGCCTGATTAGATTTTTATGGATACTGTTTTCAACCTGGTATGACTCCACTCAAGTCAGTGGAATTATACTAGTATAAAGTGAGAGGAGAGAGTTTTCGGATGCAGCTTCCGACTAAGGTCTTCTTGGTTGGCAAGTGCTATGCATAATCAATCAATCATTATAACTTTGTTCATGCAAAGATATTTGAGATAATGAAATAAATCACAGGGGAGGAGGGTAAAAAGATAGAACAAACAAAAACACCGAAGAAAGGACAGAGAATCACTCACAGTAGCCTGCTGTTTTTCTGCTTTCTCAGCTGCCTCATTAAGCTGCTTTTGAAAGGACTCCTGGAGAGATTTCATTTCTTCCCTAGGTCATTGAAAAAAAAAACAAAAAACAAACTTCACCAATACTCTCCATTAGGAAATATGGTTGGTGGGGATTTTTGTTTACTTTAGTTTAACACAGATACTGTTTTAATTATGCAGTATAACAACCAAATGTGCTGTGTCCATGTGTTTTGTTGACAAAGCCATAATGGTCCATTGAACTCCAGTGCTGATGCAAAAAGAAAATTATTTATATATAATTGTAATTGGCTACTTCTTGTATCTATCAAGCACCCTTCTGTGCACAACATCTGCCAATTGTGTAATTTCTAGTGAAAAGAATAGTTATAGTAACAGCGAAGAAAGGAAAGAGAAGCAATTTAAACAAGGAAAGACACCACAGTCTATGAGAGCTAGTTATATTTGCTTTTAAAGAAAAGAGAAATTCCAGCTGGTAAATCTACTTCTCTTTCTAGAAGTAAATTATATACTGGAATCTTTTGAGGTGTTGTCTAATCGTTTAAAAGAAACATTTCCAAACACAAAACAAAAATAGATATTTATTGGGCAGATCAGTAATCGAGATCCTCTTTGAATTGCTCAGGAAGTGAAAAAGCGACAATAAACTGGCAACATACAGGCAGTCCCCGAGTTACACGGATTCGACTTACTTCGGATCCGCACTTACGAACGGGGCTCTCGCGCCCCGGAGCTCGCAGGCAGCGGGACCGCCCAGAGCGCAGCGGTCCCGCCACCTCAACCTCTGGGACGAGAAAAGCTGCTCCGGGTGCCCCTGGTCTGCTGGGGACCATCTCCAGCAGACCAGGGACACCTGGAGCAAAGCCGGGGAGGCGCGGGACTCCGCTGCCGCTGCGGCTTTGCTCCCGGTGTCCCTGGTCTGCTGGAGACGGTCCCCAGCAGACCAGGGGCACCCGGAGCAGTTTTTCTCACCCCAGAGGTCAAGGTGGCGGGGCCGCTGCGCTCTGGGCCGTCCCGCGAAAGCCCCGTTTGTAAGTGCGGATCCGACATAAGTCGGATC